TTGTGCTTCTTCTAACTTCGTTCTGCTAATTTCAGCTTGTCGTGCTCCTTTCAGCGCGTTTCAACTTTTTCTACTATATCAGCTACTATTTAGCTGTTTTATGATATTGAATTTTCAATTGCACATTTTTTAAACTCATTTAAACCTTTTCTGCCTAATTCCGCAAAAATATGCTCCCTCCACTTCCTACTGGTAATTTAAGCATCTTTCAGCTTTTAAGCTACTTTTCAGCGTTTTTATTTTTATTTTGTTATTGCTAATTTCAGCTTCTTCTTTTTTTTCAGATAATTTAAACTTTTTTGTGCTCATTTTTGCTTTTTTCAGCCTAATTAGGCAAACGTATTCTTTCTGCTTTCTTCTAATTTAAGGTTGTTCTAACTTTTCAGCTACCTTTTTAGCTGATTTTAGCTATTTTCAGATAAAATCCATTTTTTTATGGTAATCTCTGCTACTTTCAGCCTAATTAACTTCTTTCTGCTAATTTCAGCTTGTTATGCTCCTTTCAGCTTATTTCTGCTAATTTCAGGCATTTCAGCTACTATTTAGCAGTTTTATGCTAATTTTTAGCCTTTTCAGCTAATTCCACATTTTTTGCACTCATTTCAACTTTTCAACCTAATTCAGCAAAAAAGGGCTTTCTCCACTTCCTTCTGGAAGATATGCTTCTTATTTTTCTGCTATTTTTTAGCTAATTTCTTAATTTTGGGGCTCATTTCTGCTTATTTGAACCTATTTCAGCAAATATGTGTTCTTTTGCTTTCTTCTGCTAACTTTGTCTTGTTCTTCAATTTCAGCTATTTCAGAACATGTTTAGATCATTTCAGCTGTTTTTCAGCAGGTTCTTCAGCAACAAGCATTCACAGTACATTTTCACAGCAAATGCACTTTCTCTAGTTTATGTTTATTATTATTGTTGTTTGTGTTTATCTGAGTTGTACAGTGTAGACTACTTTAAAATTACCTTATGTAAAAGGGAGCACCTAAAAATAAAATAAATATAATAAAAAAATAAAATCCTGATGACTTAAGACTTTTTTATTCAATGTTTTGACATTTGCCTTATTTTCTAATTTTTATCACATCTTTTCCATTCAGTTTTGTTTGTTTTGTAGGGTTTGTGTGTGTGTGTGTGTGTGTGTGTGTTTAAACATAAAATATATTGAGATTTTTGGCCAACATTTTTATTTGACGTATCCAAAATAAAAGTCTTCACATGAATAGTTTGGGATGTCTTTAATTATTAGTGTTTTATTGTTCAAACTACCCACTAAACTAAATAAATATCATTGTGTAACCTGTTTAGGAGTAAAATGCAAAAAAAACCAAAAACTGAATGTGAATTAAAAACTTTCTCAAATTAAGAATAAATTTGTAAGGATCTAACATTTGAAAGTGTTATGAATATGGAAATATTCACTCAAAGTGTTTTATAACTTCAAAAAAACAATTTTGGAGAAATATTTCTTTATATACAAATATTCGGTAAAGCAATATTTTTTGACTAGATGCTACTTTTAATACATTTACATTCGAGCAACTAAATAATTCCATCACACATTTACAACCGATGACGTACTTTAGGGAGCTGTCTGAAAACAAATGCTTGGCTGTGCAAGTTTTGAGTTATTTAATAGAACAAACTTCATAATGTGGTGGATAAACTTGAGTAAAATACAGAGTGTTCTGATAAACCTGCTACAGAAGCAGAAAAAATATTAATACATTTTTCATTTTCATTTCTCTTTGTTTTCTGCTCTTCTTTGTTAGTAGTCATTTGTTTTCTTTCTGCAGCATATGTTTCTGTGTTTGTCTGCGTACTGTATGATTGAGCCTTTTTCACTTCTATCAGTTCATCAATGATGTGTACTTCTCATGTTTGGTCAGCAGAGGAGAGCACAGAGTCAAGCAGATCAAACCTACTCCTCTGTGGCTGCCAGCAAAATTTAACAGCTAGATGAAATAATAATAATAATAATAACCTTTGATTGAGTGTTAAATATCCATATTTTACTTCCTTCAGAGACTGTAGCAGCTGAAAGACAACAGCTTGTGAGCCGGACATCCAGCAATTAAAATCATTAATAAACCAAGTTTTACAATGATCTGTTACCTTTTAAATTTGTTTATTTTATTGCATTGAATCATAAATGCATTAAACAGAACCCAAAAAAACACACACAGAAAAAAATAATTTATGAAGTGGGCTGGATTGAAGTCACTGCGAGCCGCCACTTGAATAGCCCTGGTCTAAAATGATATCCTAGCCCTTTGTTTAAAAAAAGTGGAATGCCCGAGCTTCAGAACAATGCCATTATATGAAGGGATTTCCTGGTGGTATGGCTGCCAGCTGTAAAAGGAACTGAACTTTTTTTCAAATTAAGGATCATTTTTGAAGACATAATTGTTAGAAAACTGTGATTTTTAAGGTAGATTAGAAAAGACTGTAGTGTCTTTAAAGACTCAGTTTCATCCATCCATCGATTATCTTTACCCATTTCTTCCTTTTCTAGTTGTGGGGGTCACTGGTGCCCATGTCCAGCCATCACTGTGCGAGAGGCGGGGGACACCTGGACAAGCTGCAAGTCCATCCCAGGGACACATAGAGACACAACAACCATTCACTCTCTCACTCACACCGGACAATTTAGAGTTACCAATCCATCTAACATGCATGTTTTTGTCTGTGTGAGGAAACTGGAGTACCTGAAGAAAACCCTCACATGCACGGAGAGAACATGCAAACTCCACCCAGAAAGGCCCCTGGACCGGGGTTTGAACCAAGGACCTGCTCGCTGAGAGGCGGCCGCTCTACCAGCTGTGCCACCGTGCCGCCTCACTCAGTTTCATGCAAACCTTAATTACAGCAAAAGTTAAAATGTCGCCTTGTTTTGCACAGCTGCTCATTCCAACTCATTTCACCAGCTTGGGTTGCAGATGAGATGTCCTCATTTATTAAAAGTAATGTTTCTCTTCTGAAACTGGAAATGTTTTGGTCTGAATGAAGACGACTGTATTTTGACCAGGCTTTGACATGGTGCATATAATAACAATAATAATGCAAACAAAATACAGATTTGAAGCTCTGCTGTGCAGAGCAACATTTTCAACCTTGAAATCACATCTTCGTAGAGTTCTGTCAGAAAACCAAATGTTCCTGTGTTTTACTCAGCCCACTTCATGAGTCTTGTGTAAGCACACACCCCTGTGGTTCTGCAGTTGTCTTCCCTCCAGGCTGGAGTTAAATGAACGTCTCCATGTTCATGATGGTGTGGGAGGATCCTGCAGGAGCCTCAGCCAGTGGCTGGAAACACAGGGAGGAGTCAGGGACCGTTGCCAGAGAAAATATCCAAATAACAGCGAGGTTCGTCCTCGTGAAGCTGAGAGACTTCATCTGCAGTAGGAGCCAGCTGCTTCCGGTGAGGCCTCTGTGCTAAGAGCCGGTTATTAAAGGCCTGTGTGTAAACCTGCAAGGATAACCCACTAGTGCTGGCTGATAAAGGTGGTGAAAGTCATTTTACAAAGCAGCCATGTTGCTATAAAAAGTGGGCCATGTGATACTGGATTATTTGTAGCCAAGTTTCTTTTATTTTAAACATGCAACAATTATTTATAGATTCTGTACATTATACAAGAGTATGCACAAAGATCATCTCTTGTCTTTAATATCTTGCTTCCAGACAACCAGACTGTCTCGTAAGGCTTTAAAGTGGTCTCAGTCAAGGCTTTTTCAAAGTGTCCCAAAGTGTTTTTGGTGCGTTTTTGAACGCTCTTTTACGTGATTTGTTGCAGAGGAATGCAGTTTAAGGTTCAGTAAGCTGCTTAATTCTAACCTACGGGCCATTCAGCGAAAAGAAGAACCAGGCGTTGCGTGGACACGTCGAGGACAGCTTGGTGAAGGAAGAAGAAATTTCAAATGGATAGGCGTTTTGTTATCAGCAGCCTGTCACAAAACACAATCCTTGTCTTTTATTGAATCTATAAAATACCAAAGAGAACACCGTTTGAATCAAAAAACAGATTTGTATTTCAGCATCAACAAGTTGAATTTCAAAACGCTAACATCGCCCAGGTTTTTGTTGAATTTGTTATTGTTAAAGACATGGCTTTCAGATCTGTTCGTCTTCTGTAGACAGATTTTCAATGTCTGGAACTTGTTCTTTTGTCCCCAAAATTGTTTCAGTTTTTCATTTCTTTTGGCGCAACATAAAGTTATAACGATGAGGTAGAATATGCTGTCCTCTAGTACAAAGGCAGTGAAATTTGTTGGATTATGAATTAACTAAACTGGTGACGTATAAACAAGCAGAACATAAGCTAACATGTGCAAGAAAGAAAATTGAAATATAGCAAACCATCGCTTAAAACTACACTTTGTGAAAGCGCATGTAAAATATAAAATTAACAAGACATTTGAAAAATTTAAAAGCAAAATTTAGCTTAACTTGCTAAAAGCTAAAAAAACAACAGTAGCCACAAGCACAAATGAGGAAAACAGAAGCTAAAACATATTTTCCTAACAGAGCACTTCACTCTCAGACTGCAGGTTTACTTGTGGTTCCTAGAGTTTTCAAAAGCAGAATGGGAGGAAGATCTTTCAGTTATCAGGCTCCTCTCTTGTGGAACCAATTTCCAGTTTCTGTCCATGAGGTTGACACATTGTCCAGTTTTAAAACTAGGCTTAAGACTTTCCTTTTTGATAAATCCTATAGTTAGGGTTGGCTTGTTATGCTGCTATAGGCTTAGACTACTGGAGGAAAAATTGATCTAATTCCTTATAATGAATTGTTACAATTGAATAGTTTTCATTTGATACTATTTCTATCTTAACATGTGATTCTTGACCTGCCATTGTGTATCTGTTCCAGACCCAGCCGGTCGAAGCAGATGGACGCGTGTCCTGACTCCTGAGTCTGGTTCTGCTAAAGGTTTCTTCCGCATGAGGGAGTTTTTCCTTTCCACTGTCTCCTTCATGCTTGCTCAAGATGAGAGTCTGTGATGAAGTTAAACTCAAAGCATCTGCTCCTCAGATAAATAATGTTATTAACTTACTTACACACATATATATTTGTACAAAGTATATATGAATGTTTCTGTTCATTGCCCTGAGATGACTTTGCTCTATATATCCATAACATATACATATATTGTAACATCCAGGCTTGATTACTGCAATTCGCTCCTGTTTGGTATCAGTCAGACCTCTATTGCACGACTGCAACTGGTCCAGAATGTGGCAGCCCGATTTTTAACCAGTACAGGCAAAAGAGAGCACATTACACCAGTTTTGGCCTCACTGCACTGGTTACCGGTTCACCTTCATATCCAGTTCAAAATACTCATGTATGTCTATAAATCATTGAACAGCTCTGCACCCTCCTATCTCACTGATCTGCTGCAGCCATATGTCTCACCACGTTCTCTGAGGTCAGCGGACCAGTTGCTCCTCACAGTTCCAGGAACCCGTCTTAAGCGCAGAGGTGACAGGGCCTTCTCTGTAGCAGGACCAAGACTTTGGAACGAGTTACCTCTGCTTGTCAGACAGGCCCCCTCCCTCACAGTTTTTAAATCCCGCTTAAAAACCCACTACTATTCCCCGACTTTCAACACTGTATGATTTGTGTTGATCCTGTATGCATCACATTGTGTTAGCCATTATGTTATTATCTGCTATTATTTAGTTTTTATATTTTGATTTTACGTTATATCATGTGTTGCTGTGTGTTCTGCCTGTTTGTTTCTGTCTGTACAGCACTTTGTGTAGGAGCCATTTATCTTGTATTTCTGTGTTTATCTCCACTAGGGGATGTATTTCAGTGTGTGTACTGAATATGTCAGCAGAGGAAGGTGGTTACTTAAGGGCAGGTGTGACTCTGTTCAGGTGTTGCTAATGAGAAGGAGCAAACAGTTTTCTTCTGCGCTTAGTTTAGACTCAAGGCAGATTTATTTGTTTTCTAAATGGAAATTGCAACGTAAATGGACATTGTGAGGGAAATAAATGATTTTATGATTTACAAGTCGAACTGAAGGTCTGCCTTGATTGAGCGCATGTAAAACCAAAGCCTACCAGGAACAACAGCAACCAGTAGCCTAAAATATAGGATTTTAGCCGCTGCACTTTGGTTGGCCCTGTCACTGTTTCAAGTGCTTTATAAATAAAATGGTATGACTGAATTAAAACATAAATAAGCAAATTGTAGCCAAAATTTAAAATTGCTTTGTAAAACCTAAAATTAGCAAGACAATAGCTAAAGGTCTATTAGATAAGTCCATGAAGTATGCTGCAGTAGATTTATAAACACAATTGAAAGTTACAAATACACACTATTCCCGATTGACTCAAAACAATTAGAACGGTTAAATAAGATTAAAAGGGCACTGAAAACAGGGAAACTGAGAGATTACTGCGGATTTTTCTCTTTTCTTAAAAAGAGCGCCGGTCGGAGCTTTATTTTGAAAGATCCAAGCGGAAGTTGTGTTTGGTGTAAGCGCGCCTGCTCGCTGCTGTCGGTCCCGGTCCCGCTGTCATTGAGGCTGTTGGGCCAGAAACAGGGCTCCAGTGAACAGAACCACAGCAGCATGGACGGCTGCCCGCCATAGCGTTTATGTTGTTGTACTGAGCAGCTTCCAGTGCTTGACGCAGTGACCCGCTCGCCCTGGGCCTCGCAGCGGGTCCGGTTCATGTTTCAACCGACAACAATGGACCGAGTGAAGAGCTCCATGCAGCAAGTCCCCAACGCTATCCCCAAAGTGATCCGACGGACCGGAGGGGCCAACAGCCTGGAGCTGGAGAGGGAAAACTTTGAGAGAGGGCAGGTAGGGCCTCACACCGGCCACCGTAACGGAGCACTGGTTTTAGACCAGAAACCCAACCGGGCTATGATTACTGGGTCATACC